CTTTACAACAATAAGGTTGTGAAGGTCTTGAGAGCTATGGTTTTATTTCTTTGTATGTATGGATCACTTGGGTTGTTACCAACATCTGGTGAAAATTTCATGTCATTAGCACCTCTAGTAATATATTTACTGAGAAAAATGGTGACGTGTTTAAAACGTATTTTACCCACTGTATTAAGTTAGCTAAAGTGGGACAAAAAAGTGTTTAGTCAGCACCAATTGTTCAAGTTCTCCCACTTAAAAAGATGAGCGAGGCCTGTGATTGACATCATAGTTAGACCTCAACTATGAGAGACAAAATACCTTTTCCCCCCACTGTACATGTGTACAGAACTCTCCATCTTTTAGGACACTTTTTTTTCTTGGTCTTGATCTTGTCTCGGTCTCGCCCTCCCTCGGTCTTGGTCTCGACTTGGTTCAAACCCTAAAAGTCTTGGTCTTGTCTCAGTCTCGAGACACTGTGGTCTTGGTCTTGACTTGGTCTCAGGTTAGGTGGTCTTCACTACAACACTAATAATCAGAGCTCGACGCGATCTGTCTTCATGAAGTGCAAAGTTTGCTGCCGGTCTTCGTACGTGTTAAACTACGTGTTAAACAAGTCCTGTGATAACTGCAGGCGAAAAATGGCACAGTTTACTTCCATGTTTTTGACGTTTTTGCCGGTACAACCCCCCACATATGTTGGCTTTTTCACCCGCCCAAAAAACAAAAGTTCAGTCATGTGCACTGCTTGTGGTTTAAACATGGGAAAGTGTGTTTTTAACGAGACCCGGCTTCATATCAGTGATTTTTGTGCTCAGTTGGGAGCGGTCCACAACAGTCAAACGAAGCTCTCATACATGACTGTTTTATTAAAATAATTTAGTGTTCTTGTATTAAAATCAAATATTCTTTAATAACTAAACTGATAGCAATAAAAATGATTTTATGTTAAAATTTCTGGGACCATTTGATTGTTTTTATTAATGCGTCAGTTTGGTCTTAAATGTCATTCTGGATGGTCTTTAATTTTACTGAAACCTGCATGAACCCTGCTTTTAGCTTAAGATATTTAACCACTCATCACAAATGCTGCAGAGCATATGATGGCCTAAATACATTAATGTATTTTCTGTTTCTGTAGGCTTAAAATGTCCATTACAGTAAGAATTTTAAGTGAATGGGCTTTTAAAAATGAAGGGATGTAGTCTTTCCTGGGTTTCACTTCTCATCCATCTTATAAAATGTTTATATGAGGTAGATGCACACATTGAAAGACATTTTTTAAAGCTTAAAATGTCTTAACTACTAAGTTTTTTTTATTTATTTTTTACATTTTTAGCGTCTGAAGACTCAACCGGAACGAAACTCTGTGCTTGCAAGTGAGTTTTTAATGTGTACTGAAGTTAACCAAAATAACAGAATATAAAGATTTATACATTCAAACACTTTCAAAATTCTATTTTTGTGCCAGAAAAAAAAAGTGTTTTCTTTTTCTCCATTAGGGGACCTTCACAGAAAATCCTCTAAACGACTGAGATGAGAACGATCAGGCTGGAGATGAACTTTCACTCACATTGCGACACAAGACATGGGTGGTAAAAACATCAGTCGCTGATTTGTTACAAGCCAACAAAAAACAAAAACGTGTGCTTCTTAACTGTGTGTGCACCTGCTGTTTTTCTTTAAATAGGGTTTTACAAGGCTGAGGTTTGGGCCCGTCTGAGCTACACGTAAACAACAAAAGCGTTTAAGTCTTTCCTAACGTCGTCCAGAAACCAAAAGACACAGATTCTGCAGTCAGAACAGCAAGCAAAGCTTCAACGGGTAGGTCCACTGGGTCTTTTTCTGTTTCAGAGTTCAGAAATGCTATTGTGCTATTGTGTAAAAATATAAAAAAAGGAACAAAATCTTCATATATATATTACTGTATGGACTAGAGTCAATGCAAGGCACCACAAGAGGAGAAAGAGGACTCAGTGAAAAGAGGGAAATATTTAAAAAAAAAGTTAAAACATCAGTAAAAATGACTTTTTTTTCTAAAGATGTGAAGGTGAACAAGAGAGGCTGAAAGGGTGGAGTATGATCGAGTCAGAGTCCCCTTTGCTTAAGGTCCGATTGCTGCTTCTTTCTCAGATGGGCTCCGGTTTGAGCTTTTCAGCCAGGAAGTCGCCGACGAACTGCTCCACCACCGCCGGCGTGATCTCCTCCACGTCACGGACGTACTTGGCTCGAGCCGACATGTCCAGGATGGTGAGCAGGGGCGCCGCTTCCGGGAGGTTGGTGTAGTCTCGCAGCGAGTCCGACATGTCGTCCTGCAGCGAGGACGGGACGAGAGGAGGGTTTATGTAATATATATTTATATATATAATGTTCAGATAAAAGCCTGGATCACACACAGGAAACTGATTCAGTTCTCAGACTGGAATATGTATTTGCAGACATGGAAAGCTACCGCCTGACAGCACCGAGGACCGCTCACAGGGTTCCCACAGGTCCTTGACATCCTTGAGAGTTTGTGAACTTGAACAAATATGTTCAAGACCCTGAACATATCTTCAGAGTTGTAAAGTAACTAAGTACAAATACTTTGAAACTGTACTTAAGTAGAATTTTTGAGTATCCATACTTTACTTGAGTAATTATTTTTCAGCCTACTTTTAATTCTTACATTTTCACACGTTTATCTGTACTTTCTACTCCTTACATTTTTAAAAAAGGCAAGAAGTAGAAAGTCGTTACTTTTATTTCATTTTTGCTTGTTTTCATTCCAGCTTGTTATTGTAAAAAATGAATCCTATCCATATAAATTGTGCCTCCTAGATAGAGTGAATTTAATTGTGGTTGAATGCGAAGTATACATATATTAAATTCTGATACAATATTAGTTTGTACACAAACAAATCATGTCACACTCCAGCAGGATATAATCATTAAAATAAAAAGACTGTACTTAAGAAGTATTTGTGTTTCATGAATTATATTAATACATTTGGCTGCAGCCCTCAGATAGATTCTCATTTTGGAGAAAATGTTTGTGCAGCCTTGATACATTATATGTACGTAAACTGAACCAGCTAGACCAGTGCATCCTAAATTTAACTTAAATTAATTATTTTAATACGACAGTCATTTCACATTTGTTTGGAGGGAGGTCACCTCCTAATAAATGTCATTACAGAAAATCTAAATGCTCATTTTAAATCAATACTTTTACTTTTTATACTTAAGTACAAAAATATCAGATACTTTAAGACTTTTACTCAAGTAATATTCCTAAAGGAGACTTTAACTTTTACAAATGTTATTTTTTTGGTAAGATACTTGTACTTTTACTCAAGTATTACTTTGTGGTACTTTATACAACACTGTATATCTTATAAAACAGCCATAAAAACACCTATCCTTGAAAGTCCTTGAATGTTTTCTGAGTTTGAAATATGACAGGGAAGAGGACCGTTGTTGACGTGTCATTATTTTGTTTGTTCAGCTGTGTTTTGTGTGTAACAGCACGTTGCAATCTTCTTACAGGTTAATTCCTAGTCTTTTTGAGTCAGGGTCATTGAGTCGGTGCTTTGAGAAATGAACCGTTATTCAACACATTTACTGAAGAGCTTCAAGGCTTCAAACAAAGCCTCATCTCACCATCACTATCATCACCATGTATTGTGGATATGACTGTTCAGTTATTTGTTAAATTTACATCATATTAAAACTGTTCTTTGATAACATATTCAGTGGTGGCAGTAATGCCGTCACACTTGGTCACTGAGTTTGAAGAAATTGGGCCTGGAAAGTAATTGAAAGGACCTTGAATTGATGTTAACCAAGGTGTGGGAACTAGGGGTGTAAATCATCAGATTTATCACAACACGATATATCAATTTGTTTGATGATATGATATTTTTCGATATCACAAACTCTGTCACAATATGATTTTCGTTCTATTAAATTAACAAGCATACCATCGATATGATGAGATATTATATGCCCAGCTAACATAATTCAATCCAAATCGAACACATGATGACGATATGGATCAATATTAATATATCGGTGTGGATCGATGTATTGTTACACCCCTAGTGGGAACCCTGAACTCACTCAGAACCTCCGTCTCTAGCAGGGGTGTCCAATCCTGGTCCTCGAGGGTCATTACCCTACACGTTTTTTTAGGTTTTTCTGCTCCAACACACCTGATTTGAATGAATGGGTGATTAACAGGTTTCTGTAGAACATGAAGAGGTAATGCAATCATTGAATCAGGTGTGTTAGAGCAGAGGAACAAATAAAACATGAGGGATAGAGGCTGTCCAGGACCAGGATTGGACACCCCCCGGTCTAAAATGGCAGCGTGCCATAAAGAGTTTTGTATCCGAGTCAAGCCACGCCCACAGAAATAATATGATAAATAAGGAAGTCCCCTCGTATATCAGCTGACTCTCAGACATCAGTTCATGCAATGCTAGTTGTTTGTTTAGTGTAGGTGTGTATTACCTAAACAGACGTGTTGACAACTCAACCTTCTAAAAGCACAATAAAAACAACAAATACGTAGCAACAATTTTACACTGATCATAAAAACGTTTTAACATAAAAGTATTCAAGTAGTGCAGAAAAAACACTCCTTAAAGAAGAATGTGGGCACCCTGCCCACAGAGACCTCAGAGTATCTGCTTAGTCACACTTCCTGCTGTGTTGAAAGATGAGAAGAGACCAGGTGGGGGTCCGACGCCCCCCCCCTCAC